CTGGTTCAATTCAGATCTCTAAATCTCCACCTATTTTTTCTAAAACAACCTTCACTTTTTATAGGGGGCAAGAACTCAAACAACTATCACTTTCTAGGCTCTGGCTCTTGACTATCGAAGGTATGGTTGAATCTCTCATCTCAAAACTTTTGCAAAATTCAGCTTTATAGAGATTTCTATAGCAGAAAGCTTCGCGATTGTTATGCATATTTTTTGAAATCAACATCTTTTGTTCTCATGGAATTAGAGCAAAAAGAATGAAAGGAAAAAATTTCACGTTTTAGTCTCTCATATTCAGAAGCATGGAATTTGGTATCATACAGAGTGTCACGAAAAAGAAAGGATATACAAGAAACTAGAAGGAACGCTCTTTCAGATAGCATTGAAATTTTTGGGAAAGATTCAGTATCTTTGAAATACCAGCGCTTGCAAAAAGAGGTGACAAAAACGTGCATTAATTATGAATCAACCTAATAAATAGTTGTATACTATAAGATCTGTGGAAGACTCTCTACAAGCTTTGGCTCTCGAGAAATATCGCGAGGAATATGGCTTTTCCTAATCAAGTGGTCCAAACCAAAATTCAAATTTCTTGAGAAATAAAGCTTGTATAGAGCTGAAAATTTACGTTTGTGATTCTACAGGTTTGTAGTATACAACTACTCATGTAGGGACAGCACAGCGTCACTTTGGCAAATGCACAAAAATTTCCGTTTTCTCGATTTCTAAAAGGTGAAAAAAGACGCTAACGGTGTATATAGATGTCTTAATGTGGATAGTGAAATTAGGAAATAAGTGAATTAGAAATTTTTGTAGGATCTCTATCTCTAGGAGCTGAATCTTTTTGGTTTTTAGCTTGAAACTAAGGTTAATGAGAACTGCTGCAAAGCAAGATCGCCAATTTGTAGAGTTTGCTTCGCTCTATCGAATGGTACCCTGCAACCTATACAGAAGTGCGAAGTTTATGACTTATTGCGGTTAACAAAAACGGACATTAATTCCCGGACAGCGTAACATATACCAAAAAACAAGAAAAAAAGAAATCTTTAAACAACCGCCACTACCTTTCCAGCTTCTATGGTTTGACAATGTCACTTATGTCTCACATTTTGATTCCCAAGCATTTGCGTAAGTACCCTTCAAGGCATTCGCATATTAGCTAGCAGAGACTTCACATGGTTTCAAAATTCTATTACATCTTCACCATTAGGCCGTAATCCAATAATTTTTTCCAGAACGTTCTTTGAACAGTGGACGTGAGAAAAGTGAGTTTTGTGTAGTGGACGGCATTAAGATAGAAATCTTGTTGCAGGTTTGGCTGAACTCATTTCCGTCTTTTTACAATTTTCGCTCCACTCGACCGAGGTTAAGTTTTGTAAAAACGCTGCGAAAACAAGTGCACTTTCAAACGAAGATCTCATCCTTGCTTTGCGAAATCCTGTATAATTTTTGAGCGATCCCATTTTTTGCAAGCTGTTAAGACGAGAAATGGGTGGGTGGAGGATACGGTAATGAGGGATGCACTAGTATTAGGCTGGCGCTTAAAAATGCAGCTTTTTTTAACTTCAGTCACGATTACTCGTATTGGAAAACTATCGCAACCGAACATGAAGATCGGCATGTAATGAACTCGTAACACTTGTCTTTAGCGATTGAATCGCGACGACCAAATCGCGTGTACTCTGTCCGAGGCAAAATGCAATTGTAAAGGTAATTCAACGTCCAAAGACTTTAACTCATATTTTTGCCGGTCAATCTCTCTGGAGCATTGAGGTTGATCATGTTGAAAGCGAGAATAGAAACGTTGGTGAGTAGGAATGCAAGAACGGACAGAAGAAGAACACTTCGACGCACATCCAAGATCTCTCCATACTTACTCTCAGTACTGCTTTCCATCTGATTTCATAGGACTTGGTGATTCTCAGAACTGTGGTGAAGAACAGTCCATACGATGTGCATACTGCGAGTCTCTCTTGTGCTCTCAGCATTTCGTTTTTGCCTTCAATAATTTCTCACAACAACTTTTATTCAGATTTATTGTATCCTCAATTTGAAAAAAATAAAGTTTTCGAAGTCTTTGAATGTTGCATTATCTTTTTGACCGCATTAGGGACTTCGCGTAAACAATGCAGACATTGTGGATGGCTTGCAAAACATAGCAAGCAAAGGAAATCGAGCTCAAAAACAAAAATCAGGGCTTCTCCTTATGAGCCTGCACACACACACTGCGCTATGCGTCTAACTGTAGCTGGGCGACGAATATTTATGACGCGCCGGCGGCCCCACTGCGGAATCGAGGGCCATAACTTCCTGTACAAGACCGATAAGCAAATACCGAAGGCGGATATGTAACCAAGCTTCATAGCTCATGGAGAGTTCAACGGTCTACGGCTTGCTGGGATTGACGACTACGAATTTTGACCATTCCCTTGCTAGTAGCCAACTCTCATAACATTTTACCTAGTTCCAGCTCCACTTGGTCAACATTCTGTGCACGGTTTTATTTTTGCTAAAAGCGTAAAACCTCGAATGTGACCGCTTTCAGGAGAATGCATGAAATTTCAATTTTATCATAAAAAGTCGAACAGTTGCGAAATTTTACTTCTTGATCTAATAATGCTAAATTTGAAGTGCGTCACATTTAAAAAGAGAGAATTTATGGACTTGCAGATTTTGGCACGTATGTGCCCCCAAATTGTGATATTCGTGCATAGTATTTAAAAAGATTTACTCTTTCCTGTTTTTACAAAAAAAAAGAATGCGTGGAATGTTCGGATCAATTTCTTTCACTAATCAAATTAAATCATTCAGATTTAAACAGATTGCATCAAAACGATGTTTTCTACACAAATAAGTTTCCTCTCTAGTTCAAAAGTTGATGTAAAGGGGTACAAAACGATAAAAATTCAGAAATATTTCAAAGATCTGACATCTCTCAAGATTGTTGCACATTGAAAAGTAATTCATGGCAAGATATCGGTTCTGTTATTTCAGTCCACTCTCTAAATCATAGAACTAATTAGGATGCCCGTCCCGATCGCTGTCGCTTCATGCTCACCTGTCTTTATTCCTCACTCAAAGCTCCCTCCCCAAAGTGCGGAACTATGAAACCTACGGCAGTAATCGATAAGCATTAATTATATCAAATTGTAGCATGCTCACTTATTCCCTCTGCCAATTCCCAGAACCCCAGCTCAAAGTTTGCAAAACCGACACAGATTTCGAAGATGCATATAAATTCGTATACAGAATGCTCACTCACCTCTCTCCCTCCCCCTGTTCTATGTCATCTTCTAGCCCTGTGGCCCAGTGCAAAAAATGGTTTTGGTACCATCGAAAACGGAATGTAGCCTGTGACACCCGTCATGCATGTATGCAAAGTTTGGTCCGGAGCGATTCAGCAATGATTCTCCATAGCATTATACAAAGACGTACTATACATACACAAACAGACAGACATTAAAATTATTATAAAATGTGGATTATAAGTTGGCTCCGCTTGGCCCTGTTTATACACTTTGACGAAGGTCACCATTACCTAATTTCTACAACATTTCCTTATTCCTGTCCCATTCAAGAAGCCAGTTCTTTGCCCCACGAAAATCAGCATGCTCACTGACCCGTCTTCGCCCATTCCCAACCCGTAGCGCAAAGTATGCAAAAAATGAGAAATTCAGTGATAATTGCTAACGAAAAGAAGCCAATAACACTTGCTTAGCCTTGTTTGTGAACAAAATATAGTTCTGATCGGTTTAAAAATAGATTTCATTCATACATAGCATGTGTACATATCAGAAATGGATATCTGTCGTTACTCTCCATTCTCCTTGGGGTTATGGGTTCGTAAAAATTTTGAAAAGCTTCCCAAAAAATTTTCAGAGCGCGTGGGTAACGGCAGCATCTCCACCTGGAGAACTTTTTTGTCCCCTCTTCCCCGAACGGAAATTATGGTCGCTAATGGCAGACACACAAACAGACATTCAACTTCATATCTAACGAGGAAAGCTAACTAATTAGCTCGACCTTTTGGCAAGGGACATATATGTTTTAAATCAGCTTGAAACGCTAATTCCAAATATGCTGTTCCTAGCTGCCGTGCACCATTCCGAAGCGTGTGGGCTTTTTCCTACGCGAAATTTTCATAGTACTGAACATGGCAAGTTCATTTGTAGATTGAAAAAAAACTGCAAGAAAAAGGTGCTCCGAGATATCGAAATAACACAAGTCCAATCCTTCCCCACCAAAAAGAAGCTTAACGCAAGTGTATTAGCACTTAGATGATGATACCGTGATGCCAGTGAGTCGATGAGTACGAAAATTTGCGCAGGAAAAAGTTCATAACTCGCTTCAAATGGTGCTCGACAGCTAGAATAGCATAATCGGAATCAGCGTTTGAAGAATGTATATATGTTTGCCAAAAGAGAATGTATATACATATGCTCCTTGTCAAAAGGCAGAGCTAAGTTGGGTAGCTTACCTGAAAGATAAAGGTGGAAAACGACTCCAAAAAATCTAAATTCTTTGTTAATTTGATTCCGATTATGTTCTTCAGAAACTGAGATCAAAACTTCCAATTCTTATGAGACACATAGAGATATAACCAAACAATTACCCTAATTTCACAAGTACAAGACGCATCTGTTTTCTTCTAACTTCGACGGGTTTGAACGCACCAAAAGTTTGGCGGCCAAAGGGCCTTATACATTGCTGCATATTGCCTGATAGTATCGTGAAGTATAAGTTTTGTTTCCCCAAACACAGCTAGGCGGCGGAGCGACTCGCTTAAAAAACCGAAAAGGTGCGTCTTGTACTCGTGAAATTAGGATACTGATCGAAGTGTGGGCACATAACTCTACACTTATAGAATACAACAGCGCAGCTCAGCTCTCATTATCCGCTGTAATTATCCGGTAGTCATACCTTATGACCTTCGTTGCGTGCGCGTGCCAAACATACCAAAAGTGCCGTATATATCGTGCATATATCTAATGGCAACAAAAATGCGGCCGTTCTTTTTGCTATGCATAGCTGTAGTCATAGCAAGAACTTACCTTCCATGCGAACTTCGACCATGTCCTCCACCTGGTTTTTTTCCACCTACACCTGCACCTGGTTCTATCGTGTTTGTAGTGCCCTCTAACACTACGACCACAAGGACTACTACCACTACTACTGCTACTACTACCAGAAGGACGACGACAACTCCACCAGTAGCAACGATCATAAGTAAGCTTCAAAAACTTGATACAGTCTTCATTCCTATTGAATTCAGATGTTAACAAATGTGATGAAGTATTTAAATTAAAAAAGGAGAATTTGTTGCCATTTCCGACATCTGATTAACAAAATAGCTTCCTTATGAATCCTCGTCAATCGCGCTTTCCCATTAGAGATGCTTGGCATGGGGGAATCTCTATTGGTTGTATGCACCATAGCAATACTTCCTCCTTTTTTTAAATGAAAGTGTTTAGTCCTTTGCGACTTGTGTCATGCCATGTAAATCTATCCTGAACCAACGTTCTTACAGACCTTAAAAGAGACTACATTTCTGCCTGCGTCAAATAGTGATGCGGCTCAATTATATTAGACCTGTCATTCAGTTTGATTCTCGATAACGTAATCACTGCATACCAAATGAATCTATCGAAAAAACACTCTATCTGCTATCCGTAGTGTCAGAAATATGCTTTTTGCTCGATGTCGCTGATCATTTTACTACTAAAAACGTACGCCAACATTGCCCAGAAAGGTTGTCGCTAACACCAATCCCTGCATGAGCTCTGTCTACATGTATTCTATATCTGTCTCATCCATCATTGAAATTCTGTACATTCAGTAGTGCATGAAAAGATGACTTTGCAAGTTAGAAGCTATGAGCCCACGTTAAATTTGAAAGGCATCCCGAGATTTCTTCCGAAGGGAGCTAACCACGTCTCCCCAAATTTCTGTTTCATACTCCCTTCCCCTCCCATCGGAAAGTTTCTCTTCCTCACTGATGAAGTTCAGTCATCTTGGATTACAGGAAAATACAACTTATTACCTGCGCCGCTGGATCTTCTTTTTACTTCTTTAGCAAAGAACATGCAATGACAGCCACATTTTCTCCAACCAATTTGTTTTTCATGTAATTGGTCATTGAAACGGGTCAGTAGAAGTTAGCCGTTTGCATAAAGTTTGGAAACTGTGCTCACAATAAGATTTATTAATTTTGAGATGAGTAATGCTTTGTTTTGGAACAAATGAAGTTTCGAGCGAGTTTACTTAAATGATTGTTCAAATTTACACAACCAGATCGTACGAAACTTTGGACATAAAATGGCGGACAGGCAGAAAGCGTTATCAATTTTCTGACGTGGCATCTAATTTTTGACCTATGCTTGGCATAGCGAAAATGAGGAGTCTCGTTTTGCAAACGATAGTTTCAAAACAACGCAAAAGTACCCAGCTTTCTTTTTCTTTTTGCTGTTTGTTGCTTACTGCTCATAAGCAAGTAAATAACATCATAAAGAGATTAGGAATTTTTCAAAATCAAAAACTATTGGGTATTTGTCTATTCTTTTACAAATCAACACTTCTAAATTTTTCGACGTACTATGTGTACTCGCAGAGATAAAGTTATAGTGAATCGTTTGCATTGTCTTAAGTATGAATCTAAGTTGGACAGAAAATCGGCGACAAACGCGGTTGAGTGATTGTTAATTGTCTTTTGCACTTGCGTTCCATTTCATTTAATTATCTCTCGGGTCCAAAGAAAACTGAATAGCTTGAAATGCATGTACTCAGCTACTATCTGAATAGAAATTTCATTTTACATCCGAACTTATGCGGTATCGGTATAGCGGCTTTCATACTAGCGCCGGAATATCCCATAACCAAGAGTACAAGATGATTAGTTGAATCTATGAAATTTCTGAGCAATTGTCAAAACTAAAAATGAGTTAGCACACCCAACTAACTCAATTAGCAACGTTATAGTGTTATTAGGACGCTTCAATTCACTACATCGGCCTGTTGGATGTGCATTTAGAGCACATAAGCTGAAATCGGACCTCTTAGGGCTGCATGCACGAACATTCTCGCGGGGAGGGGGTCGCAGCTTAGAAGAAAGCTTTATATTTCGAAACTCCAGATACCTGGATTTCACGTTGTGTACTATCCGTAAGTATTCCTACTACCCTTCACTATGAACATGTTGAACAGGAGCGAGAAGCTGTACGAACCGCATCTTCCAGCTTTTGTATAATCCCTCATGATCCCCGGCTTTTCTTTGAAGTCATTTTTCTCTCTCCGAAGTTAACGAATAACCTCCAAAGTTGTGCAGATTATCTAACCCGACAGTACTAAGCATGTTGCTGATAAGAACAAATGATGTTTTGAAGTCATGAAATTTCCGATGATCCACGTGTCGAAATTTGAGGTTTACCGAAAAATTCGACTTTTCAAAAACTCATTTGTTCTCATCAGCAACATGCTTAGCACTGTTGTGTTCGATGTTCAGTACAACTTTGGAAGGTTTTTGTTAACTTCGGAGAAAGAAAAATAACTTCAAAGAAAAGCGCCGGGGATCACCAGGGATCATACAAAGGCTGGAAAATGCGGTTCGTACAGCTTCTTGCTCCTGTTCAACATGTTCATAGTGAAAGGTAGTAGGAATACTTACGGATAGTACACAACGTGAAACCCAGGTATCTGGAGTTTCGAAATATAAAGCTTCCTTTTAAGCTGCGATTTCCTCCCCAGCGGGGAGGTTAGTGCATGCGGCCCTTAGAAAATCTTTTGAGAAGTTCCACACAAACATATGCAGTGACTTATAACACATTTCAATTCCAGTACCAAGGACTCTAGCGCCCCCAGGTTCCGTAAATCCATGGCAGCCATATGTATGGCCTAGCGGAGGTCGCGTACCTGCTGGAGGTAAGCGCTATAGACATTTTATGGATATGCTATTTTTTTCTATTCTAAGGGAGAAAATCTTAGACATCATTAGTTAAGATCCTAAGGTGGATCGCATTGGCTGAAGCAGTTTTTTGAAATACGGAGAAATGACCGGAAGTTTTGTCAGATGTCTTTATCACCAATAGCAGGCCTGAAAGGCGTGATGCCGCTGAGCGGGCTGGACCGGGTGCCAGCTGAGACAAGATGGAGCAAGGCTGCGGACAAACTAAAGCATGGGCAAGTAGCAGAGAGGATCGATGTAAATGCAATCGGTCTTGCCCGTTGGAATGACACAGTGACACAGGAGATTTTGATCGTCCAGTGGCAGCAATTAACACAAGTTTTTAGAGCTTTGGACTAGACTCTGTTCTTACTTACAATTAGACGACTAGACTTTCTTCCTTCTCCTCCTACAAAAGAGGTCCGTTCAGTCAAAGTAGCGTTTCCAAATGAGTCCTATACCACTCTAAAGAGCATTAAACGCTGATTTTTGAATCTGATTTTATTAATTGCTATGCGCCTCTGGACGCCGTACGGGTGTTTTTGGAGCAAATAATGGACGCATGACCTAGATGAATTCAAATGATACGGCTCAGCGCTCAAACAATGCTAAGTATGAGTATTTTTAGCAGAAGGTATTCTTCGAATGAAATCTCCAATTATCAACAGCAAAACCATTTCATCCTCTCACAAATTTCGTTCTGATTCAGCATTCAGTTTAACCCGAATAAACGCTCATACCTCGGCGTCCAAAGACGCTCAGCAGACGAAGACAGATTTGGAATCAGGATGCGATGCTCTTCAAAGTTGTATTAGTTCACGTTGAAAGGCCACTTCGACCAAACGGACCTCCCTTATGAGAGCCCCCTCTTTTCGGAAATACTCGCCGGATGGGGACAGGGTTGCTAGATATTAGTTAAGCAATCATAACACATTATCATAATTTCCTCAAAACTAGAATTGAGGAGAAAAGCGAACAAAATTAAATAATTTTTTACTGCATCTCACATTTATGGCTGTGTACTGTAAGCATCCGGAAGCAGAAGCGCACAAATTTTGTCCCTGTATGTGCCCTAGTTATAGGGGTTACCACAATAAGTACGAACACTTGGAAATGTAGATTTTGCATTTTCAGCCCATTTTCAACCCATGATTCCACCTTCGAATTCATTTAAGTATTATGAATCAGGAACATGTTCACCGCCACGATTGATGCAGACTATTGATGGTCCAGTGAAGCTTAATTTTCCCTATGAAGCGATGCCCCTGCAAATATGGCGTGAAGGTTCCCAATAAGTAGAGCTTAACTTCAAGAATATAAGCATGAATTTTGAAGTAACTCAATAACCAAATAAGCCTCAAGAACTGTCTTTACAATATGGTTCTCATTTACACATACTCTATAAAATAAGTTTTTAGCATGGCCATGGCTAGTGACGGCTGCTCCCTAACATTCCGACGTATACGATTAATGATGAATGGATTCTACTTTGATATCGCTGAAACCTGTACGAACATGGTCTCAATAATGCTTCAGAATAAACATGGCATCAAAAGCTTGTGGCAAGCTTCATAATGTCAGGCTACCTGTTAGCTATTAGTTGGATGTCTTTCAAAGCTGGATTCATCCAAAGCTACACTGAAAAATCTGACAAGTTGTCTATTGGTAGGTTCAATGACTGGATTAGTTTGAAAGCAAATAAAGTTCACTAGCTTACGAGCCAATGACAACGATAGTCCACGAAGAGGTGCAGTATGTGCCGCTTGGGCACCACGCCAAATTTAGATGCGGAGCTTATGACGATTTTGAACTTCTTGATGCTGTAAGTTTTCATTATTTTCTAAAATGCATGGTATTGCGACGCTATGACTGAGAAGCCTGTTGCCATTTTCCAAAAGAAATTCGCGGGGTTTTCTTTGCAATTACTCTTTCATGTGTCGTTCGCATGATTGTGAAAAATCTAGAAATGTTAGGTCACTTTTTTCGCACCGGTTTTTAAACCGATCCGCAATCTGAAAGATGAAAGCAGACAGCTACTTCAATTTTTGATGTGTCTCCCTCTCAATATTCCATCAAAGTTATCTTATCCTCTACCAGACGCTTCACTGAACTTTTACTTCACGTCTTTGAAAAATTTACAAAAACAGTCTTCTAAAAGTCGCTCTAGAATGACCGCTCGATAGCAATTGCACCAAGACTGAATACTTCAGACTTTTACGGTATTAGGTCGATTATGGATTGAACTCAATTTATAGTGAGCGATGAGCGAATTAATGTACTGAAAATATGAAAATGCTGAATTTTTTGGTGCCACGAGACGCACTTACAGAATTGTCAATCAGAGGATTTTGACCTCAAATTCATTTATTGCAAAAAAATATATGGTACTAGCTGATGGTCCCGGTCTCACTCGAGACTTTTAGTTCAACCAAAATGGGGTAGGGGAACGAACTCCGCCATTTTGGAACATCTCCGCGAACTATTGGTCCTGCAACCACAACCGCAATATTTCGAAACGACCGGTTGCCAGCAAAAGGGCCGGGCATACTTTAAGCGATTTCAATCGCGACGCGATTTGGCAATATTCCAGATGTCGATATCTCATTGTAAGCACATTATAAATGTACAGAAGATAGGGCATTTCATCAGTTTACGTAAGTTATACACACTATGCATGTGCAGTTTGCTAATGTTGGATCCGAAGACTTCTGGCCAAATGCCAAATCGCGTGAAGTATGCCCGGCCTTAAAGGCGGGCTTAAACTGGCGGAGTTCGTTCCCTTACCTATCAAAATATCATCGGCACCCAGATTCGTGTAGAGGCGGGTTGCGCACTTCCCTGATTTTCGAGATAAACTGGTTAAACCTCCACGTTATAGCATTGTATTTCGTTCTCTCTCGTTGAGCTTGTCTTTAAATTAGTGAAGTCCGCAGCTCGCCTCTACAGGAATCTGGAAGCCGATCATACTTCCACTCTCTGACTTCTATAATGCTCGAATTTAAGACGAACCCGCTGCATCCTGACGACCTTGAGATTAGAATGAACTTTACTAACCTTGCCCACATGTTTACTGGAAAATGATTGGTTAGAGCACGTCAAACTCTCATTTTTCCAGATTAAGGTAAACAAATCAGTAAATCAATAGAAGGACCCTGCGAATCGCCTCAAAAAGGAGCCATAAACCACCGCCGGGGTCGAAAACATATGTGTGCGAAGTTTTAATTCAATCGGTGTAATGACTGGCGTTTCTATAACGAACGAACAACTAAACGAACATTCTCACAGACATTGAGTTTTATATATGTAACCTCGAATATTTGTAACTTAATGTGTGAGACCGCACACTAAGCTCTATTAGCGACGGCACCCTTACTGGTAACTTTTCGGTGAAACATTTTCTAGCCTGACAAAGTGTGGAAATGTGTTCTATTGACTAACATATAATCAACAAAAACAAAAGAGACAACGAAACGAGGAGAAGTCACTGTGCAGGTTCTAGTTTTGCAGTTCGTCACTTAGCGTGTATAGTGTACATTACGCATATTAAGTTACGAGTGACTTGACGATACATAGATTTATATTGCTAACCAGTTGTTGTTTCTAGCTTTAGACAGAAAATCACTCGAAGTTATACTAAGTTCAAAAGGCAAGATGAAGCGTAGCAAAATAAGGGAATGCATCACAAAATTTTTACTAATTATTCTATTAATTGTCAAAACTTTCTTGCTAACAAAGAAAAAATGGTCAGCCAAGTGTCGTTTTGCGATGATTTGTGCACTATGTTGGTGGGTGTAAAATGCTGATTTCAAATCTGTCCTCCTTATTTGCGCAGTGTTCCTGGAAGAGGAGTTATGAGCGTTAAGAGGAGCAAAAAATAAATGTTTTTCTGACGAGGGAAGGATACTTAATCGCAGTGACGATTGGGTAAGCGATTCATACCGCGTATACCGTCTCCAGACGGTAATCTCTAAACCGCATTCCATATTTGCTATGACGTCATTCTGGAGGAGTTATGAAGGATTTTTCGTGCAGTGGTTAGTGGCTTGGACTGCGGAGCTGGACGTCGTGGGTTCGATTCCTTTGGGATGCCACCCGTTTTGCACTTTTGTAAATTTTAGCAGGCAAGTTGCAAAACCTGTCGACATCAAAAAATGATTTTCACAATTTGAAGCAACATATTTACATTTATTGGCGCCGAAAACTACCGTCTAACCTAAAAACACTCGTTTTTAGCCTTTTCATTGAGTACTTTACTCAATTTTACATTGGAAGGCCTTCATGAACACATATGATATGAAAGCACAAAATGTGCAGAACAAAAAACACACGCACAAGCACAAGCACGTATTTGGAATTTTTCAATGTAAGGTTGAGTAAAGTATTCAATGAAAAGGCTAAAAGCGAGTGTTTTTAGGTTAGACGGTGGTTCGGTGCCAATAAATGTAAATATGTTGCTTCATATTGTGAAAATCAACTTTTTTTTGATGTCGACAGATTTTGCAACTTGCCTGCTAAAATTTACAGAAGTGCAAAACGGGTGGCATCCCAAAGGAATCGAACCCACGACGTCCAGCTCCGCAGTCCAAGCCACTATCCAGTGCACAAGAAATCCTTTATAACTCCTCCAGAATGACGTCATAGCTGATATGGAATGTGGTTTAGAGATCATTGTCTGGAGACGGTATACGCGGTATAAACCGCTTACCCAATCGTCACTGCGATTAAGTATCCTTCCCTTGTGAGAGAAAAGCGGTTGCTACATTTTTCTGAGCGTTTGGATGAGACAGCCGGACTAAGAAATATTTCGCCTAAGATATTCATTTTATAGAGTGCCGGTTAACACTGGTAAATTTAAGCGCTAGGAAGAATGTTACTACCGTTTTTATATTATTTGCTCAATTTTTTTCTATAGACGTGTATAAATTCTCGTGCGGGAACGCGCCGCAGATAAGGAAGACAGATTTGGAATCAGCGTTTTATGCCCTCCGACATGGTATACAATCCATCTCAAAAGGCCGCTTTGACCAACCATCCTTTCTTTGTAAGATACAAATTCGAGATATTAGCGAAAGTTAGGGCTGATGTTAAAAACTTCGGGGACTTATCTGATTTATTGCGCTGTTCTCTAAAACATATATAGGTTAGGGCCTCACAAAGTACACAAACTCGCACCAATTTAAGTTGAAAAGGCAGCCACGGTAGATGCGCAGGGCAACCTTTCACCAAAAATAGTGGTGATGTATCAAAGTAAGACATGTAAGAAGAAAGAAAGTCTAGATGACGATAACTGTAAGTGCGATAGCCACTAACATGAGCACACTGTTGCATGACGGAAGATACCAAACTTCAATCACCATAAAAGTGGAGTTTCTCTATAGCTTCCATGTTTGTGCTGTGAAAGCTGGAGAACATGCAGACTAACAAGGAAACGGTCAGAAGTCAAAGTGGCCAATCAAACAGGCTGCACATCATTGGATGCATCATAAAACGCTGCTCCATATCTGTCCTCCGTAAATGCTGAACACATTTATAGATGCGTAGTTTTAACGAGAAAACTGCACATATAGATTGAAAAATTAGTCACCTTGTCGTCTCTTTAGCTCACCTTTAGATATGAGCTACATAAAGCAAACTAGTTGCATGTTTTGGCCCAGCATCAAACCAAACACTGCTCTGTATGGCTAAATTTGCTTGCATACACGATTTTTTTGGAAAATACTGGCTTGGCGTAGAGCAGATGAAAGAGAGAGAACGTTAACATAATCAATGTTCTACGCTGCATCCAATGGCATGCAACTTGTGTAAATCGGTCGCTTCGAGTCTGGCCATTTCCTTGTAATATGACTGCTCCAGCAAAGTGCGAACGAACCTTTTTTTTAATCGTGCAAGATTGCGGAAAACCAAGCTTCGTCATACCTCATATAAGTCCGTGAATCCCAGCTGCCACGCGATCTTGCAATTTGCTATATGTTTACAAATGCATAGACGCACAGATTTTGCAAGAATACGCAGTTGTGATATGTCTCACTATGTAAAGTGCGCTTGCGAAGAATTTTGACGGTCGTACAATCTAAATCGCGCAACGTCCGAAATCACTGAAGTAGGCCCGATGCCCAGTGGTATGTTAGACTGTGCAGTGGTAAGCTCGGCAAGCTGTTAACTTTTACACCGGCACGTTGATATGGTGTAGAGAAGAATTCAGCGGATAATCGCTGTTTCGCTGTTTCTGCTTTTGGTTTTTCCACACATGCTCAAGCTTTGCGTGAGAGGACCGATAGTCCGCAGACTACCTTCAACCTATCGCAGCCCCAATTTTTGGGACCTTGCTGTACGATGTAGTTGGCAGCAGGCCCGGTGTACGCTCTGTACGCGGCGCCCGCCGAATCCGCGCAATCTGACCAGAAAGACTCTCGCGTGATTGAACATTAATGACTTTGAGACGAGCCTGAAGTAATAAAACTAATGTAATTTAACTTTATAATCCAACTGATGCCTTGTTTGAAAACTAATCAAGGAGATAATTAACCAAGCACTCTGAGCGGTAGCGCTAATGACTCATTCGAAACTAAAAATCCAACCACAAATGTCTCCATACGCAATCTAGACCATATCTCGCAGTAGACTGCTTAGTTTTCAACCTCTCTCGCGCGAGCATCAACCAGAAGTCGTCGATTTATTCTGAAAGAAGAGAGTTTGGGAGATGTTCTGTAAATAAAAAAATATCTGCGGTTTCGCTTGATGCGTGCTCTAGTTGGGATTCCCTCCCGCACAAGAAATCCACTTGCTCAAATTTGTCTGGACACTCCCGAATCAAGTGTAAACGATTGTTTCCCTTGAAGAATATAGATAATTTTGCATTAGCATCAAAGTATCAACTTCAAATCAACTGTAAAATATACGGAGGAGCTGTTTTTTAGCAGAGTGCATGGAGAATCACGGAATTGCGCAACCGCATGAACTATGTTCAAATCGATCGCCCATATCGTCTGTTCAGTTTGGCGTTGTACATTGCTCTATTTCTAAAATGATTATTCAAGCGTCAAGAGAGGACGGCGACTGGAAGGGGATTAGAATTTTATTGTCAAATGACACCAGGCTTGCATATATCTATGCAGTGGACAGAAAAATGAATGGGTCTTTCATTGAGTGTTCTGTCAGCTCAGGTACAGTACCGTAGTAGTTCCTTCCAGGCTACTCAGGAAAAAAATATTGAGGATTTGCAAATGATAAAAGACAACCAGAATGGAAACTGTTACATCGAATTGAAATAGGTTTGGATGCTGAAATCAAGTTGCAGCAGAAAGATATCGTTTAGTGGTGCAAGACTGCAGCAAAAACCTGGGGACTAGCACTATATCAGCAAATAGGTTGAATCCGTGAGTTGAATAAAAATCATTCTACACATTGATCGCAATTGACCTATCGTATATAAAGTGTCCCAAAAGTCTTTGCCTGTATTCTCCCAGAATTTGTGAGAATCAACTTGAACAGACAAAGTTTTGTATAGAGCTGTTCGTATGGGTCTAAATAAAACGTAACATTAATGCTCAAATCATCCTTCGTAGATTTTGCGACCTTCGAAAAAGGCCGCAAAATCTACGAAGAGAAGCAGTCGTGATAAATAGGTAGTTGACGTGGCCAGATCGTCCAAATTCTGGTGGAGGATAGCGCAGGTCTTGCCTTACAGAACTGAAAAGAGAAGTCGTGGGGGGGGGGGTTCAAACCCGTCAACAATCTGCATTAAGGGACCGTGAAGGAAGTAGACTTGAACAGCTGGATTTGAGCAAACCTCTTCCCATTCAGGGAAACGCCGAAAGTTCTCAAAAAAATTATGGCTTGAATTCTATCTCTTTTATTCCTAGCTTTGGTTGCCTAATTAGAATGTAAATCCGGCCCCCGCTGCGTAGTAAAGAGAAGTGTGTCAAAGTGCAATCAATCAGACTCAACGACTCAATAGGGCGCTCACTACTTGTTGGTGTTAGCTAGAAATTGTCGCGAAGTGGCACTACAAAGACCTGCGCGAAAAGCAACAGGGCAAGAAATTCGTACGCATATAGCTTGACGACCAGTGTTTCTTCTTGTATGCTAGCCTTGTATCCTCTCAGAGGCATTGCCCTCTTGCAAAGGTTATCGTATAAAACCCTGAGTTAATGACTTAAGTTTTCTCTCCGGAAACCTCAAAGGAAATGCTCAAACATCATAACACTGAACACAAAGTGCACCTGTAACTGGGGATATGGTAATTTTCAAAATTCCTCCAAGCATTTTTCATTTTGCCAATTTCATGGCGAAACTCTTCTCTACACATATGTAAAGCTGAGCGTTGATAAACTGCTATTAGGTTGTAACAGAATAAATGCAGGTTTTGAATTCCAACCGCAATAAGTCATACACTTCTCATTTCAAAGTAGGTTGCAAATTACCATTCGATAGAGCAAAGCAATCTCTACAAGGTGGCAATCTTGCTTTAGCAACAACTCTGATCCACCACGAATTTCGAGCCAAAAACTAAAAAGATTTCAACTGTTCGAAAAATTGAGAGAAATCGTAACTCAGTTCTTAAAAAACCTACAAAAATTCTAACTTGCTCACGTGAACATTATTCACATAAGACATCTATACATGCCTTTGCCGTATTTTTTTCTCTGTTAGAAATCAAGAAAACGGAAATTTTCGTGCGTTTGCCAAAGTGATGCTGTGACGCTCCCACATAAGTAGTTGAATACTACAAACCTGTAGAAGTATAAACGTGAGTTTCCAGCTCTCTACAAGCTTTAGTTCTCGAAAAATCTCGAATACAGTTTTCGCTAGTCATGTGGTCCAAGTTAAAATTCAAATTTTTCGAGAACTAAAGCATGTAGAGAGCTGAAAATTTACGTTTGTACTTGTACAGCTTTGTAGTATACAACCACTTATGTGGGAACGGCACAGCATCATTTTGGCAAGCACACGAAAATTTCCGTTTTCTTGATTTCTAACAGAGAAAAAAAAATATGGCAAAGGCGTGTATAGATGTCTTATGTGAATATTGTTCACGTGAGCAATTTAGAATTTTTGTAGGTTTTTTATGAACTGAGTTACGATTTTTCTCAATTTTTCGGACAGTTGAATCTTTTTGATTTTTGGCTCGAAACTCGTGGTGGATCAGAATTGTTGCCAAAGCAAGATTGCCACCTTATAGAGATTGCTTTGCTCTATCGAATGGTATTTTGCACCCTACTTAGAAATAAGAAGTGTATGACTTATTGCGGTTGGAATTCAAAACCTGCATTAATTCTGTTACAACCTAATAGTTAGTGTGTCTCCTTATATAAACTTTCGTGTGGACCAATCAGCGCAAAACTTCGCGCACATATGTCTTTAACACCGGTCCACCCCGTAGGCTAATTTTCGCGGCGAAACTCCCAACACTGTTCATTTACATATAAAAAAAATGAACTTTTTCAAATACTGTCAAACCACATGCAACTTTCGTTAAGCAATAGCGGTAAAACTCTTTTTCATTCGACGGTGAGTGAGAACGGTAATTAAAGGCGATGCGAATAGGAGATTCTGCCATGTGTTGCACGAAAAGAGAAAGACGAAAAGCAGTGAGTTGAGCCTTAAAAGTGTGCACCAATCTTGCTCTTTGTTGAACCCGTTGAGTTCTCGGTGTGATAGAAGCCGGGCATGCCAGCTAGTCAATAGTAAAAACCCGTATGTGATTCAAAGACTGTGATAAATTCTGCCCGACTTCTCCGCACATTGATTGCTGCCACCCTTCCGCATGCAGCGTCTGCACAACTGACACTCGCAAGTATAACATACACCCCTCATTAGATAACTCATTTAAGGCAGTGCCCCACCAGACTGGGGGTATCTGGCTCTGGTAGTGATGTAATAGTAGACCCCCTACCTAAGCGATGACTAAAGTTCGGAGCGAAAGAGGGGGGAGGTCTACCAAGCCTGATATTTGCTCCGAAAGTGGCCCGAATCTTACGGTTGGTCGGGCGAGCACGAGATGGATGCAAGATAGGGACGCAGAGGCGTTGCGGCACCCTGCGCTCATGACTGTGTGCGCTATACGCACTCTGGCCTTGCAATCGATATTGCCGTGTGGGCAGCATTCGAGCCTACTGTAAGATTCGGGCCAGTTTCGGAGCAAATTTCAGGCTTGGTAGACCCCCTTTTTCGCTTTGAACTTCAGACATCGATTAGGTAGGGGTCTACTACTATATTACTACGAAAGCCAGATACCGCCAGTCTGGTGGGACACTGCCTTTAACGCCACACCATTTTGCTTATTACATTTAAGGTGTCGATATGGCTCATGTCGTATAAGTAAAGATGATAACCTTGAAATGCTGGAATGTCTCTGCGTTGAACAATATACAGGACTTTTTTGCGATCGTTAGTTCTCACTTGCAGCTATTGTTCTACTTAAAAACTATCAAAAATTATAGAGCCAGTCCAAGGAGCAGTCCTATTCGAGATCTTATATTTTCTACCAATTTTTTCTTTGTTGGCCGTATTATTTCTAGTTTGCTGTTTCCACAAACAATTGGGCAGCATAGGGTAATCACACAATCCCTTTACATCAATTATCAATTTTGTTTAAGTTCTAAAGAACGACCGATGCTGCTTGAAAAGCATGTTCCGAAGGGAGATCTCAAGGTAGACTTGGAAGAGCTGTACCCGGAAATGTTCATAACTCCAGAAAAAGTAAGATACTAACTAAAAGTGACTGCAGGTGTTTCTAACGTTGTAATATCAGGTTGTCTCATAATTTTTCAATTTTAAATTTATACTGCAATAAGTCCCACGCTTTTCAATTCTGATTAGTGTGCAGGATACCCTTCGATAGAGCAAAGCAAGCTCTATAAGAAGGCGTGGAAGTTTTCGCACCAGCTTCAGTATATCACGAGTTAGAAGCCGAAATCTGAGAACTTTTGGATGCCCAAAAATTGAAAATTTTCTATAACTTTGTCCAAAGAAAACTCACCAGATTCCAAACTCCTCATGCATATACATTCCACATAAGACATTCATATGTGCCGTTGCCGTGTTTGTTTCTGTGCTAGGGAACGAGAAAACTAAAATTTGCAAGCTTCCAAAAAAGCGATGCTGCGCTGTTTTTACACAGGAAATGTATATTACAACCTTTTGGAAGTACATTCACAGATTTCTAGCTTTTTATAAGCTCCAAATCTCGAGAAATATTATTTACAACATAAAATACCCTAGCAAAAAAGCTAAATACGGTACTTCTCAAGAACTAGCGCTTCCAAGAAGCTGAAAATTTACCCATTGTTACGAAAGGCCTGTAGTATATATTTACCTGCGTGAAAATAACGCATCATAGCTTTTTTGGAAACTTGGAAATCTCAGTTTTCTCGGTTTCTAGCTCAGAAACAAACACAGCAACGGCACATATGAATGTCTTATGTGGAGTGTATATACGTGAGCGAGTTTGGAATAGCTTGACGAGTCTGGTAAATTTTAAAAGAAAAAGTTATAGAAAATTTGCAATTTCTCAAGCATTCAAAAGTTTTCAGATTTCGGGCAATCGAACGGTACCCTGCATATAAATCATTAAGAAGCGTGTGACTTATTGCGGTAAAAATCAAAATTGAAAAAACTTATGGGACAACCTAATACATTACAGTATGCCAAGATGTTGCAAGCACTATCCGAACAAGCAGAGTTATTTCCCAACAACTCAAAGAAGACAGCAAAGGGGTTTTATGTGCAATAGTGGAATCTTGAAGTTTTTAGACTAAGCAAATTCAGGTGAATACAACCCACGATCGGCATCCCTAATGTCATAAGCTGCCTGCATAGCCGTAGATTTGCAATTAATATAAAAATGAATATCACTCAATCTGAAATTGAATAAAAATATTATCTTTTCGTGCTGTATGATTGATTTTTTGAAAGCCAACGACGGACAACATTCTGATTGGCTCTTAGACATGGAGAAGCAAGACATTATTTGAGCTGCGAGCAGGCTCCATAGTCTTTCTAAAACATGCGCTCTCCTACAATCAAGCAATGCAATCTGTAATTCTGATCCATACTCCTCGGACTATGGTCACCTTGTCGACAACTTCGAGAAGGTATTATTGGCATTTCTTTGGTTGTCGTTTGAGTGATGATTGCTGAAAGCTAAGGGTTGTTTCAGACTGCCGCACTGACCGCAGCAGACTGCAGCAGACTGCATGACCGCACTGACTGCAATGGCTGCACAAGTCGCTGCATCCTTTCGTAAAGGTGGAGAGGATAAATAGTTGTAGCCCAAACAATCAACAACTATATATGCCTAGACCCAAAAGACAACACGAGCGAGAGTAAAACAGTTATAGGCAATAACAGGAGGAATCAGAAGAAATGTAAGCATAACAAAGAAAAACAGTCGTTGGCAAAATTTGATTGAGAAGAGTAAGTTAAAACCTATGAACTCTAGGTATAAATCACGGTGTTTTGACGTGATCGCAATTGCTTTCTCTTTCACGAAAACATGCAGCGATCTGTGCGGCCGTTGCGGTCAGTGCGGTCTGCTGTAGTCTGCAGTCTGCTGCAGTCTGCTGCGGTCAGTGCAGTCAGATGCAGACTGCTGCAGTCAGTGCGGCAGAATAAAACAACCCTAAACACTGTGAAGGGGCTAGAAAACGTGGAATTCTTATTTTGTGTCAAAGAAGAGTTGCGTCTTGTATTGAGCGCAAAAAGAGGTAGTCAAATCACTTCCGAGGCAAGTTAAAGTGTTTGAAAATGACCATTTCAGCTTGATGGCTCAGTATCTGAAAATCTTGAAAATCGCTAAAATCTGGTCCAAGGGGTTAACTGACATGCAGGTTAGGAAAAAAACTTACGATTTCCGATAGGGTTTCGTTCTTGTGCTTACGATTGAAGTACGGTAATGGGCCAATATTTGTCTGCTTGAATTGTACAAAGGAGTTATTTGATAACAGGGCGTGACTTCTGCTTTGCAAAGGCGGACTGGCACTATTATCCTATCCTTCCTCATTCTCACATCATGATCGCTTCAAAAACTGACAGCAAAGTACTGACTATTACGACTGAATCGTAAACAACTGCACATTCTCTGAGTTTTTGCATGTATGATCATGACAGAAAAAGCAAATTTTTTTGCAGAACAAATGCAAAAGACTCAGCTACCAATCAGTTACCTAGGCAAAATTGACAGAATGACAACCCAAGCGATCATTTTTTGGCGCCGTTTTCGCGAATGGGTTTTCGGTCATTTTAAAGCTAAAACCAATTGCTTGCAGATTTGCTTTTTGAACAAATTTTTCACCTTACAATAAGTTTGAATACCACCCCAATTCTGTGGACCAGGATCCGCATGGACTTGTTTGACACCCAATTTTTGAAGGATGTGGATAGTTTGTTTTTTGGACAGATCTCTGGAAATATGATTTTTAGAGAGAAGGTCGTAGAATAACAAGTTTCCATTAAAAGTGCCTAATTGACAGCTGAACTGCATGGGACCGGCTTGTTCCTGAACACCCTGAACCTATATGCTGGTACCGTAGTGGCGCAAAAAATTTGGCTTGACACTTGACTGCAACTCGCTCTATGAACTTCCTGACAGACAAACATCTACACAGACCGACAAGCAGACAGACGCTCAGCGCTTTATCTTAAGTCACGATGATACTGCTAATGGATACAACGTTTTGTTATCGCTAATATCACTTCACTACGACCCCCTTCCTTCTCTAATTCCTCAATACCCCCAGGTGTAGCGTGCCATGTCCCACGTCCTACGTTCCATGATTGATCATGTTCATCACACCAGCACCAAAACTCGGCAGCCGCATAAGGCACGCCGCGGGCGGTCAGCCTACAGAGATACGGACAATTCCGTGCTGCCGACTCTAGCACATACTGCAGTGTTCTTGTACGAATGATGTCTTAACGTGGCCAAACTTGTGAACTTCGCGAAAAAAATGTTTCGCAGATAAGAATTGCAGTTTTGAGATCGGCATTAAATAGCGACTAAAAGCGCACTCATTGCTAAGAAGAATTTGATTTTATTGGCACGGTTCTCAGCAAACTTATGCTTGGCAAATGCTGCAAAAAATTGAGAAAATGAAACTTTTGTGTGACTTCATTTGTTTGCAATGCACCTACAATGTGGTGGTTGACAAGATTAGCGTTAATGTTAGGGTTCTCAACCTCTTCTGTATCTTCATATGAGACTCGTATCCGAGATATTCGTGAGTATTTCGATTCTATGTTGTGTTGACGGAAGCTTCGCTGTTCCAGCTACAAACTTCAAGCAACACACCTTGCCTGCAGTGAAACGTTATGTTCCACTGGGACATCCAGCAATGTTCAGATGCATAGGCATAGATGAAACTCCAAATGTTCCAGAAAAGTCGGAGTATAGAGTAAGTTGTTCTTGTTCCTTAGTGCCTCCGTAAATGTGTTTTTTGCCGTTGTTCAAAACAGGTTTGATTCACACGCATCATATTAGGTCGTTCCGAAAGTAATGTCGCTTTTTTCAAATGAACGCCACTTTTCATGGAATCAAGATTTTCAGGAGTTCTTAGAAGCATTCGATGCAGCATTTCATCCTCTTTCTAATGGTTATGATTACATTGCATAATCTTCAACGAGCTCTCGAAAAACTACCAAAATCTGCGACTCATGCTTTTTGCCATGGTCAATTTCGGCTATTTTTTCAAAATTTTTGTACCTATTCTTCGAAGAAGTAAACGTGACTGGTAGATAGAGCAAACCTTATAGGACACAGAGTAATTTTTTCTTTTCCTTAGCTTGCTTCTTAGAGTTTCTGGAATGAATTTTTCAATGCTATTGAATTCCATATTTGGTCATCTCAAACCTCAAAGAACAACAATTGGCAAGCAAATGAAGTGTTATTCGACGCAGCTTCTTCTCCTTCTACCAGTTGTTTTTTGTCTCCGATTCATCAAGTTTTCCGAGATAAAATCATCATAATTGAGGTTTTCCAGGGCGCCCCAGGCTGTACCCGGAATTTTCGAACGTTGCTAATCCGAAGAGGTGAATGCTCATTTGGTTTGTAAAATTAGTGTCAAACCATAATCCATCTTTATAAGTTTAAATTCCGAAGATTTATTGTGTTTGAGGCATTTGTGTCTGAGACGAGCCTGCCAAAATTCGGTGGTTCCATCAAAAAATCTATACAAAAATTATGACGAGATCTGGAAAGTAGAAAAAAGCTGTGCTGTTTCCTGTAGGCTTTGCCTCATCCATCCATTACTTGGACTCCTTCCGAGAATTGTTATAAAAACTTAGAAAAATTGTGAGACTTGGACTTCTCAAAAAGCATGGATCGCAGATTTTGATAATTTTTCGAGAGATTAATGAATTTTGTGCAGCGCTTATATAACCCTTAAAAAGAGAATGAAATGCTGCATCAAATGCTGCCAAAACCTCTTACACATCTTTGTTCCAGGAGATGTGGCGTACGTCTGAAAAAAGCGACATTACTTTCGGAACGACCTAATATGTTACCGCAAGCATCCCTGTACCTGAGACGTGAAGCATTGCCGTAGTAAACGGTGTTGAAAATTATCCTCGGAAAGCCCATTTGTATTATTTTTACAATCTGTGCAAGATTCAGTACATAGCCGCGAAGAATAGTCTTTTTGAGCTGTTTGCGAGACCACACGCAGAAAATACGCAGTCGTTAGCAACCAATTAATGCTTTCGTACACAGGTAAACTGGTTACTATGGGTTCAAGAAGGTCAAGCATATAACATGAAGACACAGTTCGAGTCACACAGGTTTGAAATAGTGTGAAAACTTTTGAATGATGTTCATTTACGTTCCTCTGACTCTCCCACTTTTCCTTTGACATTTACTGTAATATTCAAAATTCGCAAGGAAAAACCCTTAAATTGCTTTACCGTAGTTTGCATGGAAACGGAAAATTTTTACGGATGCACTTTCTGATTTTATATCGTAAGCTGCATATGTATTCACAACACTGAATTGTTACCGTAATAAATGACTTTAACTACTTTTAACGTGTTCGCGGATGGAAGAAATTTAGTTCGCCATGTTTCAGGTTTAATTTGGCGGCGACTTTTTTAACGCGTAAAACCACAGTTGCACCGTAGCGGTGTAAAGGGTCCAGTCGATCTGCAGTCCTGCGACTAAAAGCAATACACTGCCTCGCTTAATAGATCTTTGCCACTTGGTCCCTAGTGCGCAACAACTTTAGGGAGCTCCTCGTTTATCAAGGCAATGAAACCGCATTTTACCTGCGTGGGATGTCAAGGAAGCTTCACCGCGCTATAATCGAATGCCATCAATGTAAGTATCTTTTGAAATTACCTTATAAATTGATTAATGAGATTCAGCCGCTACTACTACGCCTAATCTAGTCAATCTGACTTCAAGGACAGTGCTAAGTAAGATTTTGTCTAAAAACAAAAAAAAATTACCTTTTCTACTCAGTAGCGCAAACTTGTGGCGATGGGAAAGCAAGAAGTCTCAACAAGCTCAATCCGTAAGTCTTGAACCTAATGCGTTCAAAAATACAGTGTGAAGAATGTACCGGTTGCAAACCAGTGGCGATAATCGGTTGCTGATGGAATAGACTCTGAGACCAGCGATTTCTAGAGCACGCGTCTGAGAATAGGCCGTAACAGAAGAGAATTCTATTCTACAAGTTAAAATTTGGTACGATAAACATGGTAATGACTGACTGCTGCGCCGCCACTTTCAAAAGGAACTCAGACAGCGGATAGGACCCCTCCTGCGGAGAAATGGCAGGGTCGCGGCGTTTCCCCAGCGGGGTGTCTGCCACTCCTGCTCCGGAGCCCTCCCATTTGTGCTCCGGAGACCTCCCATTTTCTGCTCCGGAGACCCCCATTTCGTGCTCCGGAGACCTCCCATTTCGTGCTCCGGAGACCTCCCCCTTGTGCTCCGGAGCCCTCCCATTTTGTGCTCCGGAGCCCTCCCATTTAGTGCTCCGGAGCCCTTCCATTTCTGCTCCGGAGACCTCCCATTTCTGCTCCGAAGACCTCCCACTTGTGCTCCGGAGGCCTCCCATTTCTGCTCCGGAGACCTCCCATTTTCTGCTCCGGAGACCTCCCATTTTCTGCTCCGGAGACCTCCCATTTCGTGCTCCGGAGACCTCCCATTTCGTGCTCCGGAGACCTCCCATTTCCTGCTCCGGAGACCTCCCATTTTCTGCTCCGGAGACCTCCCATTTCGTGCTCCGGAGACCTCCCCCTTGTGCTCCGGAGCCCTCCCATTTTGTGCTCCGGAGCCCTCCCATTTAGTGCTCCGGAGACCTCCCATTTCGTGCTCCGGAGACCTCCCCCTTGTGCTCCGGAGCCCTCCCATTTTGTGCTCCGGAGCCCTCCCATTTAGTGCTCCGAAGCCCTTCCATTTCTACTCCGGAGACCTCCCATTTGCGCTCCGGAGGCCTCCCATTTAGTGCTCCGGAGACCTCCCATTTTGTGCCCTGGAGCCCTCCCATTTCTGCTCCAGAGCCTCCCATTTTGTGCTCCAGAGCCCTCCCATTTTGTGCTCCGGAGCCCTCCCATTTGTGCTCCGAAGACCTCCCATTTGTGCTCCGGACCTCTCCGATTTTCTGCGGCGCAGCTCGTCCAAATCTGGCGGACTCGCGCCGGGCAAATTTCTCCGGCGCGGCTCTGCCAAATCTGGCGTAACTCCGGTGCAGAAATGGCGTACCTTTGCAGCAGGGCCGGAGAAGCGTCCCACTTGCCTGCCAGTGATGTCACCGCGACCTACAAGAAGGGACCGCACAATCGCCCCGCTCTCATTGGTCAACTGGGTCCGGCGCGACTCTGGCAGATTCCGACTGTCCGGCGGAGGGGTCCGGTCGATTGTCTGAGAAGACAGGCTCGTAGTTTGCACCAGAACACACGTCAGCTTGCGCGATTTCCATCTACTTTATATAAAGACTGTCTAAAAGAAAAGCATATTGGCCATAATCCTACCACAATTAGGCGCTAAGCTCGTCTGTTTTTGTGTGTCTATCCGCGCGTCTGTGTAAGAATCTGTCTGTTACGAAATTCATAGAGGGAGTTCCAGCAGAAGCCTTGAGCTAGAATTCTGGTTATAGCACTCTATCAGCATGTAGATTCATTGCGAAAAGCGCAAGCCGATTAAAGAAGCGGAAATTTCGAAAACTGTGCGCCAAATGGATCCATGCGGCTTCTAGTCTGCATAACCAAGCCTAAATTTTCTTCAAAATTTTTTTTTTCACTTTGACGTATGTATCTTCAAGCTTCTGGCTTCAGCATAACCAAAAAAGAATGATTGCCTAAATTTTACAAGGGAGGGTTGCGGAGTCGGAGTGGCCGATCACTTCAAGATGCATATCATTAAAAAAGGAAAAAAGAGAATGATTTCAAATCTGCCTTCCATATCTCCAGAACGCTTCTGGGAAGGAAGTTATGGATATTTCATTTGCGGAAAGTTTGTAAGGCTGAGAGCCAGAATTGTCAGCATTTGAGCATCTTGGACGCGAATCTACTTAGAACAGCTTGACTATACTTTTTGTAAAGCCTGGCCTTTTTGATCGTCACGTAGCGCAAGAAGCACTTAGAACTACTTCCAGTTTTTGTAGTCACTCAAATGTAAATTTTTATGATAAAAAAGCTCATAGGTTCCTTTCCAAGAGTTTTCTACAGATATGGAAGGCAGATTTGAAATCAGCACTGCAAGCTTTCTGTGACGATATGCATCTCAAATTGATTGGTCACTGCGGCTCCGCAACCTTCCTTGTTAAATTTGTAAAAATTACTCAAAAATTCATAAAAATTTTTGCTCAGAGAAGTGGCGTAGTCATTGTCGTTATTGCACCTATCAAGGCATAATATATTCGATAACCAACTCAAAATCGCATCTAACTTTCGGTAAAGTGTCTCCTTCTCTCAAAGTTATTGATCGCGCATTATTTAGGAGTGAGCTACTAGTATTTCTAGTATTTCCACTTGATAGCCAGCAGTGCGCGGTGTTTCAAAGCCAGAATCATGCGAGCAGAAGGAGGCACATCCATGTAAACCTGAATGCCCGTCTGTATGTATCAGCGACGTACCCAGGATTCCCGCTCGGGGGGGGGGGGGGGAGGCGACAAAAATTTTTTTCGAATGAAGGTGCGTGGCGTTAGCCACGCACCCCGAAAAAATTTTAGGAGTGCTTCTCAAAATTTTTGAGGGTCCCCAACCCCGAAATTCCGGGAAAAGGGGGCGTGGCGTCAGCCACGCCCCGAAAAATTTTTTTTACAAGGCTAATTTGAATTTTCAAAAATTTTTAAAAATTATTTTAATCATTTACAAAAATAAACAAGTAACTTGCACACTTTTATAACCCATATAAGTAACTTTCAAAAATTTGGCGACCCATTCTCGGGGGGGGGGGGGGGAGGGGCGCGCCTCGGTACGCCACTGGTATGTATGTATGTCTGTATGAATGTTCCGAATAGAAGATTCCATTTCTCAACCGATCCGGACCGAACTTGGCACACATAAACTTCTGCGCAGGGAGCGTGTCATAGGATACTTTTCGTTATCGATCGATATCGATTTTATCAATTTTTGCAAAGTGAGCTACGGGGCTGGGAGTTGGCACAGGGAGGTAATCGAGCATGCTATTTCCTAAAAGAGTGGGATTAGGGAACTGGCATGTAGACGTGGGCACAGGGAGAGGTTGTACAGGGATGCGGATGAGAGCTTCATCAGTGTTCATTAGTGTTGACAGGGACGGGCAAAGCCGGGTAAGCCGGTTAGTAGATATTAAAACCAGTGCGAGCCTCTGCGAAGCAGAGGTGACGCGATCCGATTTTCAGTCACGCGCTATGGTATGCTGACAAGGCATTTTTCGAAGCACTTGACTTTGACATTGTGCAAAAAGGAGGAACTCATATTTCAGATGCCGTTACGGTTCCTGTCATATCATAAACGATCATGGCTATGAAATTCTTGAATGTCGTTGTTTACCTCAGTTTACTGGATTGTTTTGTGATAAGCTAGCAACTGGAGCCACATTATATGAACTCCTGTATTATTCTCCTATTTTCGCAATGATTCTCGTGCTAATTCTCGTCGCTTGTTGTTCCAAATATGTTGAAGGAGTAAGGTAAGCAGAATATTTTTCGGGAGACTTTAGCAACTACGAGAAGTGCGATACTTTAGCAAAGTGCATCTTATGGAGTTGGAAAAGCACGTTCCCAAAGTCGACGGTCACTTAGATATGAGAAGTTTATTTCCCGAAAGTTTTCTGACACCAGAAAAGGTACGAAGACTAAGAAGATTTGAATTTCGACTTCACTACATGCTCAACTCTATTAAGTATGCAGAGCTTGCTGCGGAGGAAGCTGAAATTGTTGAGCCGGGGAAGAGACAGGAGGGTCCTATTCAAGTAGGAGAGCAAAAGATGGCTGTGCCAAAAGTTCTTTTGAAACCAAAGGTATGCGAAATCGCCTCCAAAAAAATTTCTTCATCGCTGGGCTTCTCACCAACAATTGAATAAGCCTTTGAATTAACTGGTTTGGCGGCTGGAGCGCGAGGCTCTCTGAAATAATCAAGACCGCTCGCGCCGCGCCGCAGTCTGCGTCTCTCGCGCAGGTGACCTTTGATCATTACCTAGCCTCAATTAGGTCACGAAGCCCCACCCTCTAGCCGCCAAGCCAGTTGAAGCAAAGGATAGTTTGCCCTCGTTTCTACTATAAGAATAAGGAAAAAGAGTCAACGGAAAAAATTTGAAACGCGCCAACCAACATTTTTTTAGAAACCGCGACAAAAGAAGCTACCAACAACAGGGTCAAAGCGCAGAAGCCAACCACCTACTCCCATTATAACTACAGCAGCTACTCAACCTAGCCCGTCACCATCTGCTTACGAACTTTAGCTATCATGATTTCATTTCTTGCTGTTGAAGATTATTTGATAATTAGAAGTGGTATTCACCTATTTGCTTATTATGTTAACAGATTAAGTTAAATAAAGGTAAAATATTCAAATCAAAAAAGATTCGAAAGATGCCTGATCAGTGAATCAAACATTGATTGATTAGATTGAAAGCGTAGTAAAAAATTCCCTATGCCAAGATCAGCACTGCATACACTAAACATGGGTAGAAGTGGCGATCCAAGCGAAAAAAATTTTTAAGCAGTGGCGAGCCAAGCGAAAAAATTTTTTTAATGCTCCCAAGCCCATGCAAGCTCATACCATTTAGCAAAGAAGACGGCGTGGAGTTACGCATACTTTGAAATTTTTTTTACAAATTCAAAGATGTAAATATTAGGCCGGTCCGAAAGTTCGTGCCGTTTTTCAGATTCATGCTCAAACCACTTAGAATAAGAATGGACAGAAGCTTCAAGCACTATTCGATGCAAAATTTCTTTCTCTTTCTAACTATTCTGTTCTTGTTCAGATTCCCTTAATGTCCGCTCAATAATCGGCAGGGATTCCAACCTATAATTTCTACCCATCCCGAGTTTGGCTATTTTATAAATTTTCCGTTTTCAACTTTTGGACTAACTTTGATAACAATTGGATAGAACAAACATGAATACAATGAACTATTTTGGCTTCATCAACTAACTTGTCAGTGTTCCTAAAAATTTTTCCAAAACCCGTACATTTGCGAAGTCACGAAATACACCACAATCGCTTCAAGTACTGAAAAATCTTCGGGATTTGTAGCTTCCAAAAACAGCTTATCACTTAACGCTTATTCTAGCAAGCAACTGAGCGGCTCGAAATTTCGGATTTAAAATTTTCTGGTCACAGCCTGGGACGAGTCTGAAAACAATAATTAAAATGATAATTAAAATGATTTTAACCTCAGATATTATACAAATCAGGAAAAAAACTCCATCAGAAAGAGGAGGAAAAGCTGCATCGGATGACACCTTGGTTGCTTCTCGTTTATTGTGCTATGAGGACTGGAATGCGCAAATATGGAATTTGACAGCATTAGAAAAATACTTGCAAAAATATTGAGAAGCCGGCTAGAGATGCCAAAAAACTATATTGTATTGCATTTTGTTTATATTCTATCCAACTTTTATCAAAGCTAGTCCAAAAGTTGAAAATGGAAATTTTAAAAAATAGCCAAACTCAAGATGGATGAAAATCATGGAAATGGAGATTCTTGCCGATTATTAAGCGACATCAAGGAAATCTGAACAAGAGCATAACCGTTAGAAAGAGTAAAAATTCTGCATGAAATTGTACAGGTCTAGCTGGGATGGATTTATTAAAAGAGGTTAATAAACTCCATCAAAATGAAGGCGATGGTTTTTGATGGCTAATGATTGGCCTCTACTAACCGTTTTAAAGGTTTCCGTGTTTAAAGTAATATACATTTTGCTTAGATGATTCTCAGTAAAAAATTCAGTTTCTAAATGAAAGTCCATGGGCTTAACCAGTCTGGTATATGACGTAAATTTATTTTGAACTTCTCCAAAGGCCACGGAAAAACGGGTATACCATGCCGTTACGAAGTGTAATCATTCCATCGGCGGGAATGATTTCAATCAACAAGGTGAACGGGTGGCAATCAAGTCTGATGCTTATTCTTTTGATATCTTTGTTTGTTCGGGAAGTTAGTGGTAAGTTCCTTGGTTTTGGTATTTTCATTTTGTCAGTAAATCTCGATAAATACATTATTTTTCTCCACTCCGCTTCAGGATATGTTTTCAAAACGGGGAATTTTTTAGCGTTCTTTTTCCTTTTTCAATATTCGTTTTCAGGAAGCGAACAATTTCTCTCATTTTCAAAAGCTGAACTATGTGAAGCAGAGCCCCACCTGAGCATGTGCAGGCATCGAGGTCGGGTGTCACTTCTCTTCAATTTTTTTCATTCTTAGCTTTACTAGCTTTTGGAAAATCTTCTTTCGAGTACATACAAAAAATGGACCACGCAGAACGATAAGCATGTGCAAATTGTCTGTTTAAAAACCTTAATTTTTTCTTAAGTTAGTAACACAGGTCGGGTCTTCAACTCTATATTGATTACTCTCATTATAGCTTTGTGTACTATTTGATTTGTAAACTAATGTTACTTCATCGTCATTAATTAGCACTGCTGCGATTGATTGCCTTGTAACAATCACATGCTTCCTGCGACCTTGAGAAAATTAGTAACATTAGGAGTGAACAGAAAAACTTCATTAATTTCACGCCCTAAGAAAATTTTCTTATTTTGATTATCTTTGATCAAAAGTGTTTTAGCTCGTGCGCATGATGTGAAGGCGTTCTCTGACGAACCACTGAACGAAACGGTACGAAATGATCAGTTTATTGTAGTTTGTTTCACAAGTAGGTATTTGAGGACATCCGGAAAAATTTGTTTTATGATTTTTTCTGTATATTTTGTAGCCTTATACCAGAAGCTTTGAGCGATATGATAGTCTATTCAAATGAAATTCTATGCTTCCAATAAGTTTCCCATGTTAATTTTACAGAAATCTAGCAAACAAAAAGAGGGATTCATACCAGAAGATAGCGAAAGCAAGAATGATCATGACAATCCTTTTGAGGAAATCGGTACAAGGTAATTTCAAGAAATAAAACAAGCCTACCAGATGATTTAAATATTATGCAGACCACCCCCAACCTCCTCTGGAAGTTCTCATAAAGGAAGAAAGAGGATACGCATAAAGAACGCCAGAGAATATTATGAGAACTTGAACAGGGAGCATCAACAACATCAGAGTTATTCGCAAAATGCGTTGACTTACAGGTAATGGTTGAAATGTGACGAAGCAATTTATAACAACACATGTGTTTCAATTTTTTGCGGAAAAATTTTATTGAAGTTGACATAATTAGAAAATGGAAGCGGGAAAAAAGTGTTTGAAATTCCTGAGAAACCTTCGTGATAAAAATCCGTTTTTTGTTCATCTCTGCTTTGTTATATTCCGGGAAAAATTTGTCACCGAAAAAGATTACAATTTGAGTTTTTTTTCATATTTTTGCTTTTCAGAGTGTACCCAGGACTTCATCCGAAAGATCAGACCTACTGCCCAAATATGCGCGGTATGTTTGCCTACACTTGCCAGCCCAGCAAGCCCCTTCGGTTAGACTTGGTAGAGTTTTGCAAGGTAAGTGCTTTTATTGATTACCAGTCCTGATTCACTTCCTTAACTCCTATGTCCCCCCTCCTCCTCCCCCCCCCCTCCCTTCCTCTCCCTCGCTTTGTCATTCAAAACGGTATACTTTCTACTTGAGCACAAAGATTTTTTTCTTTAGGACTATTCGGCCTTCTGCAGGGTCCCGAACTTCCATCGCCTTCCAGGACCGCGGATGGGTCCACCGCAGGGCGATAAATCGGTAAAATCTTTCTTACAAAAAACTAACTTACCTGTTATTCATTGGTGCAGAATGGCCATGTTGGCGTCAACGGCAAATTTGGCTTTGGTATAGGTTCAGTGCCAGGATTGGAAGTTGGTGTTGGTTGGGGAGTGGATGTGGGTCCCATACCCGGTATGGGTGAAAGCGTTGGAGTTGATTTGGGTAAGTTACTGGTATGAAATAATGTTCATGAGCATTCATCTCTCAATTTAGGACTTGATTTGGGTATAATGGGAGCAAAGACGCCGGAAGCATTCCGTCGAGGATAAGATGATCCGAACGAAAAGGTAGGTCACCAAAATCTGCATATTTCGAGCAGAAATGCTTTACCAATACAACTCCAAAATTATAGGGAGGAGGCGTTTTCGGACTTAGCGGAGGAGTAGGGGTGAAAGCGCCTGGAGCTGGAAACATTGGTGTCGGTTCGGGAATTGGTGTAGGAAAGTAGGCACCATTTGTAAACATATCTGTACCTATTATCAACTTGATCTACCGCATTTATCACAGGTCGATAGCGTACCTCATACTTTTTCATTTTACAAAAATCGTGCCATTTTTATCTGTCACATTGTTTACTGTTGTTATAAAGATTTGTATATTCTGTGTAGATTATAAAGTTTGCTCTAAGTGACACTACTCTCTTTCCTCTTTTACACAATAATCGATAAGTATGTGGTGATGCATACAGCTTGCTCCTATCTGATTAGAAAATACCGGATAACAAGGCATGCAGAAAACAGCTTGAGATTTTTGTTTTTCGCAGTAACGAAATTCCCAGATGAAATGAGAAATTGAGAAAGCTTTCCAGTTTGGAAAAACTTCGTTTTGATTGATGGGTAATTTTGCGAATCCATTCAGAAAACATTTCAAGAGAGTAAGTCAATTTACTATCACCAACTCAGTTTTATTCATTGTTTTTGACCCATCTTCAGGGCTCGTCACGAGGTGGCTTTCCGCAAATGCAAAAAAGAAATCTCCTGACTTTCGACAATGCGAAGCCCCTTTGACCCTCATTCGAAATATCCGAATCGACCAAAGAACGACGTTAACCAAAAAAAATCTAATTTCAGACTCACAAAACGATATCCCCTTTGCTTTTTGTTCCTACAACTACAGTTTGCTTTCTAGCCACCTGTGCCGAGCTCTGCCCATCTTTCATATCCCTGATAACGGCAGCCACTTCTCAAAACTTGTCAAGGTTAGTAGTGTCAAAAACATTCCATGCTCAGTAAAATGGCGAAAAGCAATTTGGAACATGAGAAGCAAATTAAGAAGAGGCACAGCAATTTAGAGCGTAAAGATCCTTGTAAGAAACTTTGGAGATCATTAGTCTTGTAATTGCCATCGTATAGAAAACAGTTTGCACCAAAAATCAAAGAATGACTTTTCGCAACCTGCATCGTGCGCAAAATTTTGTCTGGATGCTTTTCTAGTGAGTCACATTTTGTGACGCTTCGCGTAGGTGTTGACTTTGTCGATTGTGTGAGTTGACGAAACCCAAGTGACCATCCGATTTCATTCTTGTCCTGTTTTTCTCATCTGGTCTAGCGGTAGATGCGGCTCTGCTGAATTTTAGACTGAGAATCAGTTAATCACACAGCATTTTGAAATGACTTCTTTATTTCATTTGGAGAACAAAACACGATTTATGGGGGAAGGGGTAGGTAAGGGCTTCATTTAATGTGTTTAGCTGAAATATTCAATCTGTGTGGCATGGCAAAAAGAACTTCTTAACATTACAATAAATCTTGACGTTGGCTTCTAATGAGATCAGATCAGTAATCTGAATAAACTTTTCAACTGCGACTTCACATGCGCTCCGATAATTTTTGCATTTTTAAGAGCAATACGTAATCTTCATGTAGATAAGAAGTAACAAGCCGCTTACATTCTTCATTAAGTTTCTCCATCTGACGTGAGAATATCACTGATTTTGACCTCATATCAATATCTACCCATCCTACCACAAAAAGCTCTGTCATGTAGATTAAATACCTGGCCGGAGAACCCCTATCTGCAAAATTTCAGCAAAATGTGAAATTTTGCATTTTTAGGTTGTATAAAATGCACAGTACTGATTCATTAGTGTTTTCTACACAGACGTACCCGTCAACAAACAAACAAAAGCATTAACCTGCATAGAGATTTTTCTATCTTATAACAAATCCTCGTTGCTTCACAATAATTTTCACTATTTTTTTGCGAGAAGACATTTATCAGCAAATATAGACTATGCTAAAAGATATAATCATCCCTTGTAAAGCAAAAGGAAAATCAAGAGCAAGCGTGATATTTCCTTGCGTTAACTTTTCCTGACAACACATATACACTACTCCTCTTATAAAAGTATCAGTTTTTGAACCAATTTTCTTTTACTGACAAAATTCAAATGATGGAATCGTACAAAAAGATTACCACATAAGTGCTATTATTTTTGAAATCACTTTCATTACTTGAAAGTTTCCTACAGTTTTCGCGTTTTTGCGAAAAAAAATTTAGATTGGAAGATTGCCGAGCTTGTTTGTTGCAAAATTCATAAATTTTTTAAATATTTCTTCCAGCTTTTTTCGCCATGTTGCGCAATGCGAGTAGTAGTGAATCATTCATGTGAGTCGTAACGCTGAGTGAGAAAGTGAATTATACGAAAATGTGCAACATTGCGCAACTTTGCAAATATTCTTCAAAATTCATTCAATCTCTCATCTATTCGCGATAAAAGGGATGTCTTGTAACCTCTACTGTCTTGTAACCACTCTTTCAGTTCACGCTTTCTAAAGCTTTTTTTGTATAATAGATATTGCTCCTGTATATAACTCAGAAAACTCGTCAAACCAATTTCTCCATGAACTTCGTCTAAATCGAAAGTACAGAAATGTCGTAGCCTTTCGCTTAGGTTCTAACAGAAAAGAGGAATTAAATGTCCAGGGATGCATCAAAAGTAGATTTTATAGGGTACTTTAAGTGAGAATCTCTACTTGGACGTACTCAACTTCCACAGATGAACGAGGCCTGAAAAGTTTTTTGTCTTTGAACTACTGAACTAAACTGTCGTATATGTGTGTTTGACTCGGTTACTTTGCTTGACCTTTTCCGCTTTGAACGTACCGCGATTATACTAAGAACAGAAAAAGCTGGTCACTGATTTGAATAAACCAGACAGTGTTCGTGGCCATGATCCTGTCCTACACTGAGGGCGATGAAGTAGTTTCATGGTAAATTCATGTGATTTTCCAATTTCTATGCATGCCGCAAACATATGGTGCCATTGCGACATATCTTATCATCTTAAGAAAGAGAATCTCTGTTAATTTCTGAATTTCTTGAGTTAGTCAATTTGTACTGTTCGGCTTGGATAGTGGCAAAATTTTGAGAACTTAGGAAATTTTCCTCAAGCAGGGTGAGTCAATATAACTCATTGCGCGGAAAATAATGACAAAAACTCATTTTATCTTCACCTCTCTGCTTTTCATGGAAACACCTTTTCATAACCGTCTCTCGCATGGTTTATGTGGAAAATTAAACGTACAATGTTGGCTCAAATTGCCACTACCTAAAAAAACTCAAACTCAACTTCTTGCTTTCCATCATAGCGATCTCTGTCATAGACAAGTACAGATTATGATTTAAATATTTTTACACTTTGCATTAAGACCCGATCGACTTATGCAGATGAGGTTTGCGCGGAGGGGGAATGAGGTCTTTGCTGAACACATCGTGACTCGAAAAGGTTGGCTAATCCTGAATACGAATTCGCTATACTGCGGTGGTTGTCCCGTAGGTCGCGTTTTCAGATAGTTCATTAATTTCCATTTATACAGTCGCTGAGTTTGCTCATTTTTATCCTTGTAATCAATCTCATTTTAATTACATCTTCAGTCGTTCTCCAAGATATATTATAGTATACTATTTCTTCCAAGCATTTTCTCTCGCTCTACTTGTCTATACACCTTTCATCGTTTCTCCGATTAGTCTGTTTACTTGGTTGTTTATACAAAATTCAGTCATATGCTTGCTTGTAATCATTTGAGCATCTTACAAGACATCGTTTGTAATCATCCGCTTTTGTTATTTGTTTGTTATGAGTTTCAGTTGACAGTGCGCTCGACTGGATGAGATAAATCCATAAAAAAGTTGATTAGGAGCTTCACACAAGAGGAAAAGCAGAGGCACAATTCAAAGCGGGACAAAATGAATGCAACAGTATTAGACTTGCTTTTTGGTGATATTGAGAGATGTTTGAAGAAGTTATTGTTTATTCAGACTTGATTTCTTGGTGGATTTTTTCCCACTGTATTGTTCACTTGAGAAAATTTGGAAAATCTGAAAAAAAAAATTGGTACTCACAGGCTTTTCGTGTGCAAAACAGCTCATGCACACTTTATTTACCCACCTTCCCTCCCCACCATCGCCCTTTCCCAAATCGCAAGCCGAGTGTTTGATAGGTTAACTTTTTCTTTTCTTTTTGTTTCAAAATAGCTAGCGCTAGGTAAAGTTTGGAAAACTGCATTGGTTTCGAATTTTGAATTAAGAACTTTAGAGGGCTGGCTGCCGCACTCCTATCTCTCAGCAAGAATTTTGCTTTTTTGCCTTCCAATGAATGCTGTGCTGAACAACTATTTCGCTTGATAAACTCTTACTTTGAATTCTATCTTTACCCCATTACATTGGCATCAAAACTGTCATTGGTTGAGGCTGTAAAGCAAAGCTTGCTTCTTCTTCGTAACATTCAGTGGACGGCTTTCTTGACAAATATGTGGGCGGAAGCGTATTTCAACTTATCATTGTTAGATTGCTGTCATTCCGGAGCACGAGCAATCCTATGAACGAGAAGATTGGTAACAATCTATTTTAAGCCAATGAGAAGCCATTGAAGTTACTCAAGTTATATGAAATTAGGTATATCAAATAATTATATGAATTTACGAGAGTTGGAATCAGACGGTGCAAATGAGAAATATTTTCTTTGTAAGCTGCATTTATTTATCGATCATTTTATTATTAAAACGCAAGGGACCTCAAATATTTAAGCTATCTCGAGGTTACAGGATCTTGAACAGCAAATAAACGAAATTCAAATCATTTGTAAAGATAATCAAACAAATTCGAGTTCATCAGCAAACTCAGAAATTCCACACATATCTGTAAAAACATTTTTGTCAACAGCTGAGTGCCGAACGCTTCGCCGCGCTCCTCAATCCGGTCTTTCGTGTTTGTTCCAGCCAAAACTCGGCTTATATCCGCGCGAAGATCACCTTTCAAGAGAAGTGAA